CCTACATTATTAAGCAAAAGTTAAGGGGTGGACATGTGTCCCAAAAATAAGAAAGAACCATAATTCTATGGAACCCTAACTCTATAGAGGTTGTAAGAGACATTCCCAAATTTAAGGGATAAAAATATTTTTTGAAGAGAGAGAAAGTCATATTTTATCCTAAAATTAGTGTGTGGAAGAGAGAGACTTTTTGAAAAGAGAGATGTTAAGGGAAGAGAGACTGACTAAAAAAATACTGTGTTGAAGAGATATGGGGAAAGATATCTTTTTTCCCAAAATTATGCGTGGTACAAACTAAACATATTATTCTATATCTAAGGGAAGAGAAAAAGTATACATCTTTTTGAAGAGGGAAAGTACGCATATGGGCATCTATCCCCAACTCAAATTCAAGAGAGTAAGATATGCATACATATCTAAGATTATAATAAGAGATAGAAAGTAGAGATTTTAGAAAGAGAGAGATAGAGATTGTTTCCATATTTGAATTTGAAAAATAAGAGAAATTTTCTTTCTCTATTTTTTGGTTCAAACTTTTTAAAATGAGCACCTATCCCTAACTTATATTTAAGAGAGAAAGATTTGTATACATATCTCATATTGTTTCGATATCCAAGGGGATTCCCCATCCAAGATCATGATAACCCCTCTCAATGCATGAATGCCCCACTCTCTCTCTCTATATATATATCTCACTCTCATTAGTTAGGGTTTTGATGTTATAGAAGTTAAAAAACCCTAAAGCGGATATGCCCAAATCATTTGATCAAATAAACTATATTGGCTTCAACCTAACTTTTATTCTCTGTTTCTTTTCTCTTTGTTGGATAGATCTTCCTTACTCTCAACCAAGTACGTATCTTTTGCTTTTTCTCTGGTATCAATATTTGTGGCAATTTAGTTATTTTGTTTTCTCCATATCACACGATTCATTAGTTTTAGTGTAATTCTCTATTATACTTTTCATGGCATGAAATATTTTAGGTATGGATTGAAGCAAGAGAGAGTTTATATTTACAAAAATATAAAAATAAGTATTCATTGCCAAAATATTTTTTAATCTTAGTCAAAATGATAAAGAATGCAAAAAAAATATTACAAATAGATTTCTTATTTTAAAATTTTTTAAAAATATTCCCAAGTTGGGCCAAATTTTTTTTCAATCTTTGCCACAATGATAGAAAACATAATAGATTTCTTATATATATAGGGTTTGGCAAGAGTTAACAACCCCTCAAAATACAAAGGTTAAAGTTAGAAGGGGTTGTGATGGGTGTATTTATAAAAAATATCATATTTTTTTGTTTAAAAAATTATTTTAATAGGCAACTTAATTATTAAGCAAAAGTAAATTTTAAATTTTTATAAAAGTATAATGGCATTTTGGAAGTTAGTGTCCTGAAATTTTATTTGTAGAGTACCTTTGTCTTTTAGTAAAAATTTCAACTTTACCATTTATGAAGATGATAAAAGTACCCATTGTCTTGTAGTAATATTTACAAAATTTCCCTTACTTAATGATAAAGATACAAAAAGTAATTTTTTTAAAAAAAATAGACTATAAAATTAGTAAATCTACTCGTCACAACTCTATCTATCTTTTAACCTTTGTAATTTCAAGGGTTGTGAAGTTAGATTATCCTATATATATATATATATATATATATATATTGTTTAATAACCTCGAGTAGCTTCTGATCAAATGAACAAACAATGGTAATTTCTTTGCTTTCAAAAGGTATGAGGCAGTAGTAGTAATAAAACAATGAAATAAAGTTTTTGTTTTTTTTTTATTGTTTGAAATAAATTTTTTGTTTTGTGTTTTATTGTTAAATTTGTAATGATGTTATCTAATAGAAAATAGATCATAACTATTTATTGAATTACTGTTCTATGCATATTCAAAATTTGTAGCAATTATGTAACAGAAAATGGGTCGTAGCCCTAAAAACCATGCAAGAGTTTTTTGTACAAAGATCAACATAGAGATGCATGTTAGCACTACATATTTATATAAAACACATGTAATACAACTAGTAGAGATAGAGTCCTTGTTTTGGCTAGTTGGGAAAATTTTGAGAAAATAAATTTAAAAGAGTTAAGGAAAAAACTCATTTGCAATTATCTAGAAAAAAAAAAATAAAAATAAAAAAAGAAAAGAAAAGAAAATGTAATCACTACATTGTGATTTCGATTCCCATCGATACCACTTTATTAACCCCTTCAAAAAAACTAACTCTTGAACTATTTGAAAAAATGGGGAGGGGCCCATTTTCCTTAGTAAATTATCCCAAAAAATAAAAATAAAAAATATTAAAAAATTATGAAAATTAAAAAGCCCTGAAGTATAGCATTGAAAGTTCCATCTTCCATGTGCCTCTCTCATGTCTAGTGATTAAATAATTATTTCCCAAAAAATATTAAAATAAATATTGATTACCAGAAAATAGTGATTAAAATATTAGTTGACTGTTGTTTAGTAGATGGCCAATGACGTTATCCCACCATCATTTCAAATAAATTAATGATCTTGAGTAACTCACCAAGTGTTTAAAATTCCAAGGAATTTCATTGGAATTTGCTTCCATGGTTTATGTAAATTTGGATTGAAATTTGAAACCCGTTTGTTATTTTTATTTTTTATTATTTATTTCTTTACAAGTTTGATTTTGTAATCTATTTAACTTTCCCTAATACTTTGAAAGTTTTACCCTTTTGGGGGAAATGAATTTGTGTATTCTATTGAAATTATTGCTAAAATTTGTCAAATATATGAAGGGTGTGGAATTCAATTAAGGCGCATGTTTAAATTTTATCATACCATGTAATTTTATTCTAAAAAATTCTTAGAATTATTTGAAAAATTTATTTTCATATCTAATTATAAAATTTTAAACTTCAATGTACTATTTTTGGGACTCAAAATCTTTTTTTTTTTTTTTCATATGCATACATCTCGATATCGAGATGATCAATTAGAGGGTACCGATGGATTTTTGAGGTTCATCTTAAATTCTACCTTTTAAAGTTGTAACCTTAAATAAACTTTTTCCATACATGAATTAATGACTTCGAACAAGTGTAATATCTTATAAAATGGGCATCTTCAAAATGTTTTAAAATGAGAATAAGTACATTTTGCTCTCAATTTGGCCTTTTTTTTTATTTTTAATAAAATAGAATAATTTTCGTCCCTTTTTGGCTTTTGCTTCTTAAAATACCCCTTTGAAAGCATTGGCATAATTCAATTATAATGTTCAGACATTCATTAAGCAAAGGTATCATCTCAATGAAAGAGTGAGATTTTGCGTCTTTCTAAATAAATAAATGAACATGTCATATGAACAACATTATAATATTACAGTTAATTAAAAAATGTTACATTGGGTGGATCTCAGTTCCAATTAGTTAAAAAGAATTTATTTAAATGAAGTTAAGGATCGTTGAGCCTTCCAATTCCTCGGCAAAAGCTAGGGTGCTAATTAGCGTGTAGAGTTGGCTTTGGATAACCTTCAAATTTTCCATTTTCTTAGGTCCCCTCTTTAGATACCACCCACACACCTTCCCGCCCCCCTCAAACACAAACACACAAATAAAAAATATAAAAAGAAAAAACCACCTCCACAACCCCTCAATTTTTTTTGTTTATTTATTATTTATCAATATATTTTCAGATCAATGATTCGGACGATCCAGATCAATGACCCAATGATTTGACAAGGATTTGTGAGTGACGATCAAGTTTGTTGATAGGGGTTTTGAAACACTGGTATACAATTTGATAAGAGGTGGTTTACCATACAATGTTAAGAGTAGGTGAGGATTACTAGACGGGTCTGGATCGGACCTGAATTCACTGGACCCAGACCTGAATAGTGTTCGGGTCCAAATCTTGGATCTAGACTTTACCTGCAAGGTTTAAGTTTTGGACCTATGCCCGGACCTGGATCCGGATGGGGTTTAACGTTGGTACAAGAGAGAGAGAGAGAGAGATATGTAGAGTGGGGGTGGGGGGAAGGTCTACCAAAACCTAGGAAACCCATGTCATTAGAGCTGCTACTTTTAACATTTGACAAGACCTAAGACACATCTAACATTGGAAATACAGAGCTATATTTGCCGGGTAATTGGTCCCGAGTAATTGCCGACTAAAATGACCAAAAATCAAGGGGAAATACAAAGTCTGTGGCAGCTCAACCGCCTTTGAACTCATTAAATATAAAAAGTCGCATTCCTCGCCGATGAATCCCAAATTCAAAGGCTTCCAATTTTTTTTTAACAAAATAATAATCTGTTTTTATGAAATAAAAATTGCAATAAGAAGATACGAGGTGGGTTTAGACCAATAAGATATGGGCCAAGCCACAATCAAAAGTCAACACCCAAGAGTCACTATTTATTTAGAATTGAAGTTTCTATAAGGCCTAGGCTTTATAAAGACAAAATAAAGCCTATTTCAAATCTTCATTCGAAAAGCATTTTCAGCAATGGAAATCTCCATAATGGTTCTAAAATCAATTTTCAATATCGACAGTAAATTTGAAACTCATAAAATATACAAAACTGTCAACTTTTATTTTTAGGGTGAAATAGACGGTCTAGATAACCTGTTACAAAATATGCACTATTTTTAGATCTTAAAATTCTAATTTCTTTTCACAACCATAATATTCAAGCTGAGATGATCGATGTAAAAGTTTTTCAATACTCAAGTTGCAATTTTTGATGAGTTATGAGATGAGGCTTTACTTAATTTGATAGGGCTGCAGCCCTATCAAACAATTATCCATTTATGGCTAAAAGTAGAGGGAGAAAGCGAGAGAGGCGTCTAAAGAACTCTACTTCTTTCTTGATTCATCAAGCCATGTATGTCATGAGATTGGATTGGGACTAGTAAGATATCTGACTTTTGATAAAATTAATGAGAGAGAGAGAGCTTAACCAATTCACATTTCAGAGAGATAGATTAACCAATTCACATTTCAGACGATATTCAAATTTAACTTACCCCACAAAGTATATTTATACTATAATAATTCTCCCTGGCCATTAAACCTGCAACCAATGTATATATAAATCCATTCTGTGCTCCCCCTGATCTTAGACAAGGAAAAGGAAGAGAGAGAGAAGGGCCAAAGCCATGGAGAAAGGAGGAGAAGCCATGGAAGAAGCTCCACTGCTTTTCAGGTGCCCCATCTCCATGGAGATCATGAAGGACCCTGTAACAGTTTGCACAGGGGTCACCTATGAGAAGAAGAACATCGAGAAATGGCTCCTTGGCTACAAGAAGAACACCTGCCCTGCTACAATGCAGGCCCTTGAGACCCTTGATCTCACCCCGAATCTCACTCTGAAGCGCCTCATTCAATCATGGCACTCCTCAAAGAGCCTCGGCCCTGAGAATTCGCCTTCGAAAGCCACAATTAGCCAAGAAGAAATAGTCGGTCTTTTGAAAACCATCAATTCCTCGCCTTTCAAGGTCTCAGCACTCAAGAAGACCCGATCGGTTGTCGAATTCTCCCCCGAGAACCAATCCCTTTTGATAGAAGCAGGAGGTATTGAAGTCTTGTCTAACATCCTCCTCCAGGTGCTATTGGATAATCCTGATAATTTTTTATCTTTTCGTGCTTGTGAAGAGGCCTTAAGCATCTTGAACTTATTGCCATTCACCGACCACAGATCGATAGCCATTTTAACGAAACCCGATAGTGTTCGATCTTTAGCTGTTATGATCCAAAGCGGGGCTGCAGAGTCAAGGCTCCACGCCCTCTTGATCTTGCGTAAAATCGCCAAGAATGGATGTGATCTGGGTGCAATCTTTAGTGACCATGATTTGGATATACTCAAGGCCTTGTTAGAGATTTTATCAGATGGGATCGATAACCACGCCATGAATGCTTCTCTAGAGGTTTTGATGGAGCTTATCGTAGTTTCAAGGAAGAATCGGTTGAAGGCTATCGAGGCCGGAGCTGTATGCTTGATCATTGAGCTTCTTCCTGATTCAAATAGGCCTAGATGTGAAAAAATGCTAATGGTTTTGAAGTTACTGTGTGAAATCTCAGAAGGGAGATCAGCCTTGGCTGATCATGCTATGGGAATTGCTGTTATATCGAAGAAGATTGTAAGGGTTTCGGATATGGCAACGAAGTTGGGTGTAAAGATTTTGTGGCTAATTTGCAGTTTCTACCCTACCCAAAAAATTCTTGATGATTTATTGCACTTCGGGTCGGTTTCAAAGCTCTGCGGGCTTATGCAGGCTTATGGAAATTCATCAACAAAGGAGAAGGCTCTGAAGATTTTGAAATTGCATGGGAAATCATGGAGGAATTCAGCATGTTTTCCTTCTCAGTTGCAGGATTATCTCAAAATGAACCATGAAAATATACCTCATTGTTGATAATATAGAGAAGAAAAGAAATGAGGTTTGTTTCTCAATGTATTTTGTACTGTATTAATTATCATTTGTTGCATGAAATTTCAATGTATCATTCTTTTCTCTCCTTTCTCCCTTAAAATGTATTCCTTTTCATTTTTCATTGTTGTTGTGGTAGACACCATGTTTAAGTGGACATCTATGATTATGCTTCTTCTTTTAAAGAGAAATTTATGAACGAATGGTCCATTACAATTGTTGCTTTAGTTTGAGTGCTTTAGTGACACATCATTTTAATTATTAGTGCAAAAAGAGAAGGAAGAAATAGGAAAAAAAAATGATTCAACTATATTACTAGTATAATAAATTACTATTACTTCCATTAAAATGACCTATTGAATTCATTTTTTGTTTTTGAGATTATTTCCTATTTCTAGAGGAGAACAGGTGTATTGATTTATTCTCTAAATATGGCTTAGTTCTTTTTTTTCAAATGGTAAACTTATTATTAAGTACTAGAGTTCAAAAAAGAAACAAAAATATGAACTTAGAATTAGAGAAAAATGGCTTTTAAGAAGACCAACTTTTATTAGCGTCTAGATTCATAACCACAATGACTGCTATAATACTTATTCGTTTTGGGAAAGAATACAATGAGGCTATTTACCTTGCACATACAAAAGGTGACAATCACATCAAAGACATCAGATTTGAAATCTGGCGGCTAAGGATGCACAATTGACAGCTCTTAAAGCTCGAGAAAATATTCCTTGTTAGCACTATGTAGAAGAATACTCAGTACTGAAATAGGAAAAGAAAATAAGAAAAACCAAAGGTTACTTTCAAATAGTGTAGATTGAGATGCCACTTCATGTGGGTCAAGGTAAGAGAATATTTGATGTTAAAATAAGTAAAAATAAATAAAATTAAGCCGTAATTTCAAAGAGTATGTTGAGATGCCAATTTAAGTGGGTTGTAAGTAGGAACACTTGAAAATTGTAAAACAATTTTATATATGCAGTGATGAAATAAGAAAAGAAAAAATGATGGATTTTCTACTTGTAAGATGATGCCAAGTCTAGGAATCCGTTGTCATTTAACATATTATTTACAATTTTAATCATAAGATAAAATAATGCCCTCTTGAGAGGCCGACTAAAGCAAAAGAACTTACCTTTTTTTTAATAGGCTTGGTGGAATTAAATTTTTTTATTCAGTTTTATTTTCAAAGTAAGTGAAATACTACAAGTATCTTGAGATGCCCACTAAAGTTGAATTCATGAAGGGTTAATATATAAAAATAAATAAAGATTCGTGTTACTAAAATGAATGAGGTAACCATTTTTTTCCTTATTTTTTTTCAAAATAATTTTTTTGGGTGGATGGGGTTTAGGTTCTGCCCTTCCAAATTTCATCTTGAGATGGGGTTTGGATCCAAAATTTTACGAGTCTAGCATTTGGACAATTATGATTATGAATGATGAAAAAAGATACTGAAGAATTTTGAGCCTACAGAATATTCCGTGAACTTTGCTGGATTTCTAGATAATTCATTATATATTCTTAAAGATTATCGGATTTGTACTATTTTTGGAGCTCAAAATTCATGTATTTATGGCGGAAATGGATTTGATTTGATATAAGACAGCATTTCGGGTCCTAATACCATTAACTAGAAATTCTTCCTTTCGGAATAAATTTACTTAAAAAGATAAATGATAGGGTTTAGGTTCATCTATGGCCAACACTTGTTGCATTGAGTCCACCCTTCCAAAATCATATATCTGCATTGTTCTTAAAGCTCCAAACTCATGGATTTTATGTGAAAATGAATTTGCAGTAATTTGGAATACGTTTCACACCATAAAACCACTGAAAACCAAAGCTGTTATGCTCTCGAAAGAGTCACCAAAATTTTTTTTTGAAAAATAAATTACATGCTTTCTTCTTAGCTTCTCAAATCATGGGGGTAATTGGGAACGAGTTCAAAGTCAGGGTGACAAGTGCTACAACATGATGCCTTGAATTTTATTTTTACTACATGTAAGATATTCTTTCAACTACCCTCAAAAAATACTTTATTCGTATTGTCTGATACTTGAGTTACATAAAACTATGCTAATTGCACTGTGCAGAGTTTGATTGAATCATCGAGACTATTCATATGTTTTTTGGATTTTTAATATAGAGTAAGGTGCATTTATGCAGAGGGTACGGAACATTAAAAGCCCAAAAAACATGGACCTAACTTCTTTTAATGCCCTCATATTTGACCATTTTGGGCCATAATTGTAGGCTTGCAAGGCTGTCACCTGTAGTTCACACGCCTAAAACACAAATCCATTTGACTCGGAAAGCCAACACTACACCATCTTATTTTAATTTTTGTATCATGGTTAATCTGCACAACCGTCAATCCTTGACAAGGGATGGTGGATGTTCTTGTGGTTTGCTGTATATTTCTTTTTCTGTTTTTTGGCGATTGCTGTATATTTTATACACCACTAGTTTATGGTCGGTGTTCTATAGCTTTTGCTTACCTTAAAAATCTAGTATGTATTATACACTGCCTTAATCGTCTATCTTACCCTTGATATTTGCCTTTCCATCATTTCTGGACATAAATATAAGTAGGGGTGGCAATGGGTCGGGTCCAAGCCGGACCCAAATTCACTGGACCTAGATCCGAAAAATATAGTGTGGGACCCGGACCTAGACCCAATCAGACCTGACCCAAAAATTAAAATATCTATGTATTGACCTATATTTAAATATATCTCATATATTGGAACCCGAAAAGATTATCGAACCTAGTCCCAGACTTGGACTTGATCGGACCTGAACCAAGACCCTATAGGACTCGGACCCAAACCCAGATCCAGGCAATATTTGAGTGCTAGATTTTGGACCCAAACATGATCTGCACTCCAATTTTTGGACCCATACCCAAACCCGGATCGGGTCTACCCCTTAGGTCCCAAATTAGTTCCGAGTCCATTGCCACCCCAAAATATAAGTATGTGTTTGGGTGGATAAGTATTCTTTAGGTCATTTGGCCTACATAACAGCCAGGAGCTGGATGATATATATATATATATATATA